ACCTCAGAACACACATATATTGATACTTCTTCGCCATGATACACATGGGGGAAGGAATGAATTTGAGGTGACTTGTACAATGAGCACAATGCTGCGTTTGCATGCATAACGTTTTATAAAATTGGATGTTAGAAAAAGCTCAAGACCACCTAAGGAATAAATGTCTATAAAGCTTGGCATTACAAAGAGGCTGAGAGGGGTTAACTAATTGTTCCAGTTCAGATTTTGTTTTGGAGTTTGTTGCTATCAAATTCCACTATTTAGGCAAAAATCTTAAAATCAAATCTACTTCTGCCAGAGCCATGGTGAAGACAGGTATTTAAGAGCTGACAATACCAAACAAACCTAACACCTTTCCCTTTTTTTTTCCATTTGTGAGTTTAAAAACTCTTTTTTTTTTTTTTTTTTTAAACCCAAAGCAGGCCAGATGTGCTGGCTAAGTCGAATCAAAGATTTTGTAGGTTGAGCAATTTGTTGATCCAATATGATAAGTTCTCTTTTTTTTTTTTTTTGAGCATATGCACCGGAGTCCCATAAAACATGAGACTTCTCAATCTGATAATTTCTTAAAACCAAACAAATATATGCCTGACCAAAATAACAATATACACCTCTTGGCCAGAGACTGGTCATTATGATGAGAGCCAAAATAATGGTAAAGGTTGGAATCAGTTGGAGAGCGGTGGCTATAGTGATTCAGGGGCTTGAAGGAGTAACATCACTGGAATGCGCGCGCACACACACCCCTCCCCCACTCTCTCTCTCTCTCTCCAGGGATGCTGCTGTTGCTGCTCCTGGAACTGCACTTTGAGAACGATTGGCCTAGATTTTGGGCTTTACTGAACAAAAGTATAATGCCCGTTTCACATTGCTCATTACTCATGCAAATGTCTTCTTGCTAATCTTATTAAAAACGCCCCAAATGTGTGTCTATAACTATTTACTATGTATTCCTCTATAAATCTGTTTCAAAGTATTCTAAAACTTTGCTTATTTCATATTATGTTTATATCATTATACTTTTTGCTGCATTTTGACAAAGGCACTTCCTTATACCTCTTTCCCACTCTCTTGTCCTTTTAAATCCCTAATATCCTTGTCACTTGTAGCTGAAATACATGCAAAGGCTTTGAGAGGACTGGGGGCTCTGGTATAGATATAGTCTCATTTTCACACCAAGCTGGACTGATAGCCCATAACAGAGATGAAGCAGGGAAAGCAGAAGCTTGTAAAGGTAAGCTTATTGGAGGTAAAGTTGTACCTCCAATAAGTTTAATAATCACCACCAATACTGGACAACTGACATTGACGGGACATGGATTGGACAGTTTCACCTTTCACAAACAGGACATATTTTCACAGACTCTTTAAATCCTTGTGTTCTTTACTCAAATGGTAAGTAGTATTAATTTCATTTATGTAAAAATGTCAATGTACAATATGAATGATCTAGACCTTCTCAGTGGCTTTTAGTAGCCATTTCTGAGAGTCCCTTGGTAGTAACCATATTGAATAGCATTGGGTATCAGGACAATTTAATTGACCATCCGCTGGTAACTCAAATGATTCCAGGCAATTAAGATATTTTCTATACTCTGGAGTTAGGCATCAGGGAATTTGGCCTTTCCATGGTGAAAAATACACTTCTACCACTAGTTGATGCCTAACATTCTGCAAGTAGAACTTCATTCCTTTGGCTTAAGGCTTTTCCCTTGTTAAAATGCTACCCTCAAAAGAGGTAGCATTAAGCCTTATAATCTCAAAGTAAATGAATTTATCCCTTTCCTGAGAGCATGTTTTTCTTAGAGAGGAGGAGAAGGAAGTAGGAGGCACTGAGGAGAGTTGGTGCTGGGAAGCGAGGTTTGGGAGAATGGAGCAGAAAGAGGAGAGGGAGGATCCTGGTGACAGACCTCCAACTCAGTCACTCTTTTGTTGAAGGGCTGGCCCTGGGAGCATCCCTGCTGAAATGGGTGTTAAATTGCCACCTGGAGCATATTACTTAGAAATCAACTATGTTTTCCGACATTAACACTACTAAAGATTCTTTAATGTATAGGCACACAAAGACTTACAGCAATGGAAAAACAGGTAGCAATAAAATATTTGGTGCAACAAGAGATAGGGAGTTAACCCCCCACCCCAAATCAGAAGGACTATACTTGTTCATAGGAAGAAGATAAACTGATATTACTTTAAAGAGTGCAAATCACAGGGCTGGGACGAGGGTAAGGCACTTGCATGGCCCTGAGAGTGGGCACCTCTTTGAATTTTGCGCCCTAGGCGCCTCACTCACCTCACCCTAGTCCTGGCCCTAGCAAATCATATTAAAGCGAAAGCTCACCATTGTGTCACAGACTTGATAATGAAAGGCGGAATGAGTGAGGAACAGAGCACTGAGCGTGAACTCATCTTTTTCCCGACTTGTTCGTTGATGAGGAAGAGGGCAGGTGCATGGACAGATCTGCTCAGACAGGTACAGAGAGACTGCAATCGGGTCTGTGTTGTCCAGATAGTTACACTGGATGTCAGGTGCAATGCTCGTTAGGAGAGCCTGGTAGGATCTTCTCTGCACGTTCAAGGTAATTTATCCAGATCAACTGGTCAGTTTGTGTTCATTAAGCTAAAATTATTTATTTTGCTTCCTGTTGTCTCGCTTCCTTTATGGGTGAGTTGTGCTAGGGATGCAGTTCATGGGATTTGGGACTGAGGGATAAGTTGGGGCCGGTGGGGGAGGCCCAGTCAGGAGCTGAGGCAGGCCAAGTAGTGCAGGATGAGGAGAGGAGATACCAGCAAAGCTTGCTATTGTACTATTAATAACTATCCTCAAAAACATGTACTGACTACCCACCAAATGCAAAGCATCCTTGGTTAACAGTTAACCTCCTCCCCTGGGGATGGTGACTAGATCAAAGTCAGGCTACCAGAGCCATCTGTTGCTACTAATTGGAATGGGGAGGAAAAAAGAGGATAGGGACAACTTGAAATGGAAGCTGACCTCCTAGGGCCAACTTAATTTCACTCAAATCTCTTCTCTATTCCACCTTCAAAAATCATTATCATTATTATTTGTACTAGTAATCGAAGTAGTGCTGGATTCTCTGTAAGCCTTTCTGAGAGGGGCTTTCAGCCTCTCTTCTCCAGTCTCAGCAGAGCAAGTGCAGAAGGCAACAAACATTGTGGTAAGTGCCTGGGTGGGAGAGAGAGTGGTGTTATGATAATCAAAGGTAGGAGAGAGGTTGAATGTTAGGAGTGGGGAATATGCTTGGTGTTCTGTTAATTAGTTATTAGTAGAAGTTTTACAGTTTGGTTGTTTATTTGGGACTATGTTTACCTGTTGCAAAATATTAAATGAGGCCAGGCACGGTGGCTTACCCCTTTAATCCCAGCACTTTGGGAGGCCAAGGCAAGAGGATTGCTTGAGCCCAGGAGTTCAAGACCAGCATGGGCAACATAGCAAGACTCCCATCTTTACAAAAAATTAATTTGAAAAATTAAATGAATACTTCCAGTCTTAAATGTCCTCTCTGACCGTATGATTTCTGCCCCAAATCCTCTTGTGCTAATGGGAACACCACTGGGTGGGCCACAGTGATGATGTAGAAGATATTCTAAGAATTCCAGGCATATAGAGTATTGTAGAGGAAAGCAAGACTAAAGGTAATTGACAAACATAAAGGTGTCTGAGCATTCAGCTTCAGAATCTTTTGGGAAAACCTCCAGAGGTAGCAAGGTGAGGGGAGAGGCAAAACCCGTTAGAAGTAGTAAACAAGAAACTTCCAGGAAAGTCAACAGAAGTAACAAGGCCTATACTATGTGAGTTCCATACTCAGCTTTAACGTTCAACCAGTCATAATGGTTCCCAAGGAGCAGACCCTGGTGTCCTTTCACTTTTGCTAAGCAAAAGCATAAATGCTCCCTCAGTTACTACAGAGGAAAATGTTTGTTTTTTGGAATTCTAAGTCTGGAGCAGACAAAGGTGGCATTCATATATAAACTGAGGCCAGGGATGAATTGATTTTATTTCAGGAAAAATCCCTGAAATTTCGAATTTGGTTAAGACCTTCACACCAAGTAGTTCTAGTACTTTCAAAAGCAACTCGGCCTTGCTGTTTATTATTTTAAGTGTCGAAGTGCTGGTTGCAAGGGAGTTGGTGGGCCTGGCCTGTTTCCAGAAGTCTCAGATTCAGAACTATAACAACAAAGGGCCTAGGCCTAGGGCTTCTCTTGTGAGAGGCCCAAGTTTTCTCAGTACTTAGTGTGGTTTTTCAGCTGCTCTGTCCAGCTGGAGTGTGGGCAGTTGAGCTAAGAGGTGGCTTCTCATTGGGCAATATAACCTATCAAAGTTGAGAACTGCTTGTCTCTGGAACTCTTACTGCATCCTCCAGGAGGTTGACCATTGAATCTATTGGGTGGGGAGTGAAGTAGGAAGGGGCTGGGGAACTCTCTTTGTGAAGCAGGCTACAATTTCATTCCACTGTTCTTTTTGCCTCTCGAAGACAGTAGACAGTTAACTTTCCATCATTGGTCAGCAGGTTTTCTTTGCTCAATGCTTTGTCTTCCTCCCCAACCTCCCAGAAATCAGGCATACAAAAATCAAATGAATCACTGCTCTTGCTCTGCTTAGAAAATTGAGCTGACAAGAATAGTTAGTGCCTATAAGCTTTGTGGGAGGTGGGGGCAGGGAGGGGTCGCAATGATTATTCTGAAGCTCTTTCAGTATGCTATTTACCCAGGTTCTTATGCTCTCCCCCAGCAAGGTTAATTGAAAGCTGGTTAAACACAGAACCTAAATGGCAAAAAGTAGCCCTTTTGTGTGTGTGTGTGTGGTGTGTGTGCATTATGGGCCATAGCAACTGGCAAGACTGCCTTTTAGATTTTGGATAGATCCTTTTAGTTTATATGTTCTTGGTTTTTGGAACAGAGTCGGACTTCCTTTAAACAAAACCAAACCACCACAAACCACAATCTGAATTGACTGGTGGGGGGCAAGATGCACTTACTTTCTATTCTCCTTGAGGCTTTGATGACGCTGTTCCTTCAGTTAATTACTTCCTGTAATGAATGTTATATGCAAATGAAATGAGAGTTTTTAGAATGCAGCATGAGCTGGGCACAGATCCTGGCTATCGCTGTTGACAGACATATGGAGGATCTCAAGGTGCACTTGTGAGCTACCTCGGCTAGATCTGAGTGAACAAATGGCTGTCTGGTTTGTTGGTCAAACTTGGTTCATTCAAAGCAACCCAGTCCTGGTCTTTTCTAGCTAATGGGAGTTGCGAGGGGGGCGGGGGATGTCTATATGTTTATTGAAACTTATCACCCTGATCTCCGTGTAGACAATCAAACTGAAAAAGGCATTAAGTTTCAGGATGGAGTCACAGTCATATTCTGCACCACAAAAGCCATCCAATCAACCCCATGCCGAAATAAGTGCACCCTGCAAACCTCTCGCAAGTGCAGAGGAAAGCTAAACTGTGGTTGAGGAGGCATCAGAGTCTTTCTGTGTTTGCACACAGGGCCATCAGAGCCTCCCTAGGAAAGTGAATAATGAGCAATGGCATCCTATGCCCCCCAGGTTTGGCAGCCTCCAATCTGCTCTCACACTGCACTCCTCAGTGACAGGAGCCAGGGATGGAGCAGCCGGGTTATTGAATTGAAAAAGTGGCACATGTGCCCTGGCATCTGAAAATTTCTTTGTAGTTAGTGCACACCACTGGGGAAAATAAGAAGAAACTCGGTAGTCAGTCATGACAAGCTTATAAGTATGAAAACATAAAAATGTCTGAAGATGATTAAGTGCCAGATGATTTTAGCTCTAGATGAAGTAGCCTCTCTCCTGCTGTCCAGAATGTGAACTCATGTAAAAGAAATGTAGGCTCTGTTGTTATTCCCACGGTTCTGTTTAAAGACCCTTTCTCTTCCCCCTTCTCTAGTCAAGTTTAGTAAGTAAATCCTGCTTGTTGAGCCCAGGGCTTAGGTACTGGGGTTATCGGTGGTTTCATAGTCTTTTGAAAATTGTGCAATAATTCTCCGAGCCAGTGGGTTAGTGGTCTTCAGCAGTTCAGCTGCTGAGGGACGAGACTTTGGAGTTGCCTTACTTCCCTTCTTCTGTAGCAAGGCCTTGAAATCGTCATTTCTGCCAGCATCTAGGTTGGCACTGCTGCCTGACCCTGTGGTGGCGGTAGACTCACTGATTGGAGACTCAGCTGTGTTCTTTATTGGTGAGTGGGAACTTGTTCTGCCACCCACAAAGGCCTCACCAGGTTCCTTCCAGCCGAGCAGCTTCCTTTTGGACCTAGATAAGAGAAAGTTTGGTTTGAGTGAGTTCATGCAGCAGACATTTACCAGTGCTTCACAGGCCCCCATGCCTGTGACATAATCCAGGCGGCAGCCCTTTAAGCAGCTGTATTGATCTGCTTTCTCTCTCTCACCTCTAAATCCTCAGAGACCCTTGTTGGGCCCTCCCATCCCCACATTCCTTTCAATGCCCCCAGCTGGAGTCACTTGTCCTGTGCCTGTAGCCTCAGTCTTGCCCAGGTTCTGGGACTAAGGATGAATTTCAGGAGTCAAGGCTAGTAGCTCAGTGACTCTGAATCAGGACAGCCTGGGGACTGATCCTGTTCTGGACTGGTGGTCTAGCTCCATTAATAAGACTCTTCCCAGTTTTCTTGTCACTGAAACCCTGCCTTGTAATCCTGTCCAATAACTGGTCCCCATCTTGTTCCTCTTTGCCTAAGTTCCTGTTTTGATATGCTGCCTGGTGCCCCACTTCACCTCTTGATGGGATTTTTTTGGTACAAGGAATTCTGTGAAGGGTTAAATGTCTCTGACTATAGACAGAGCTAAGAGAGAGCAGATGGAGCCATAATAGGCCAAGTGGTTGCTAAGAGACGAGGGGCCTCTCACTCGGCACCTGGTCCTCCTCTCCCCTCCCTTCCTCCACTTTACCCAACGACATCAGTGAATTTGAGATGCGAGGCCCTGGACTGCGCTCACATATGTGGGTATCTGAACTTAGCCTCCAGGTGCAATTCTAATGGCTGCTTAGAGGTAGCAGTTTTTTCTTACTTTTGATTTTTTTCTTTTTCTTTTACAATTAGGATTTCAATGTGGAATAGCAGTTTTTCTTTAAGTACAAAAAGGGAAGGCAATTGCAATTAGAATTAAGGAAACTGGTGCAGACCTGTGTATCACAGTAAATAAATCTTCAGTTGTGCGTGAAGCCACAAACACGTCATCATCATCCTCCGCAATCCATTCGGCTGTTTTATCACTGATTAAACTTTTTTCTTCGGTGCCTGGTTCCACGGAACTCCCTAGACATAAAAAACCAAAAGGAATGACTTTGACCACAATAGATAGGACAAAGTACATTCTCATATGTTATTTCATTTGATGGTCAAAGCAACTCTGTGAGGGCAGCAGGGTGGAGATTTTTAATATCTCCATTTTGCAGAGGAGGAACATGAAGTTCAGAAGCTTAAAGATTTGCCCAAGGTGAAGTGAGTGGTGAAGATCAGCATGGGTCCCTATTCTCTCATGCCTTTGTTATTATAACGGGTGGCCCGAGCATTCTCTTGTTTTAAACACTGTATATAATTTCTCTAAATGAAGGAGCTGGGAACGATCTAAAGTACTGACTCCCACCCAGTGGGTTAGAGTGGAACCTACTCGAATCTCAGAGGGGAGCCTGTGGAGTCTGAGGAAGCGTTTTCTACAACTACCTGGGGCTTTGATTTATTTGCTTGGCTTAGTCATGATTGACTCATACTGAAAGTCCAAATCTGCATATAGAAGGCCATGAGATTTCGATTTTTGGTGTTAAGGGTTCAGAAAAGAATGAGAAACATGGATGAACACTGACAACATTAGCTAAGTGGAATAAGCCAGTACAAAAAGACAAATACTGTATGATTCCACTTATATGAGGTGTCTAGAGTCAAATTCATAGAGCCAGAAAGTAGAATGGTGGTTGGAGGGAGGAATCTGGGGGGAGGGAGAAAGAGGAGTTGTTGTTTACTGGGTACAGAGTTTCAATTTTGCAAGATGAAAGGAGTTTGGGAGATTGGTTGCTTAACAATGTGAATGTGCTTAACACGAATGAACTGCACACTTAAAAATGGTCAAGATGGTAAATGTTATGGGTACTTTACCACAATTAAAACAAAGACAGACAGAAAAAGAAAGGATGAGAAACATTACGTATTATGTTTTATGGTTCCAGGAAGAGCCAAAGAACTCAAACCACCCAAGAAAGTGAGCTCCCTTTCCTCCAGAAGGCACAAAGAGAGGCTGCTGGTGGCAACATATTCCATTGTTTCAGATGGTTCCAAGCCTGCCATGGCACATGAACTCAGTCTGGTGGGGTATTGAGCCCCATGTAGGGAATTAAACTCAGTGCAGCCAGTGAAAAGTACTGTACAGTGAGGTGGAGGAGTAGTTCCCATGATAGGATGCATGCTTGGCTAGGGACGTGGGATGCTGAAGTCCTAGGGTGCTAGAACCTAGTTTGATTTCATTATCTCAGCACTAGGGATTTAGAGGGGAGAGTGGCCTAAACTGGGCCTTGGAGATCTGCCTCGGGCTAGTCTTGATCTCAAGGGCAGTAAGGTCAGCCCGTGGTTCCCATGTAGAGTAACCCAAACCCTCAAGAGGTACCCGCACTGACTTAGGATCAGGATAATTATTCTGGGGCATCTGCTTTCATCTCTGGCACTTCATTCTCACCCTCATCTCTCCTGTTACTGAAGAAAAAAGCCAACAGACAGTTTACTAACCCAGAGGGCTTGCCTCCCTTTCACTGTCAGCCTGAGGAGTTGAAGTCACCCTTTGACCAAGTGATTGCAGGTCATCGCTGGTGGGGGGACACTTGGCGTCTTCCTCCAGGGTGATGATGGGGCTGAGAGGCAGCCTTGGTTCTGCCACATAGGCCTCCATTTGAGCTGTGGGAGAAGTGAGAGGCAGGTACAGCACGCTGGGTTTTTTTGGTACGGGAGGTGGAATCTTGCCTTTCTTTTTCTCAGCTTCTTCCTGGCTCTGGAGGCTAATTCTTTCAGGCAGGGCCCTCACCTTGGGGCCCTCGTCCTCCACACTTCCCTGGGGAGGCTGCTGTGTTCCTGAGAAGAAAGCACCAGAGGAACTGGCAAAAGGCGTGAAAACAAGAGATGAGGGTGCTGTTGACTCCCCTGGGCTTCTGCCATCTGGGAAGCTGGAGGACTTTGGTTTCCGCACTACCGTGTAGCTGTCTTGAGGGAGTGGTCTCGCATGTTGAATTGAGCTCCTGGGGGGCATAGCCAAGGTTGGTGAAGTTAGCGCATACTCCTCAGGAACAGATGGTGGCTTGTGGACCAAGCTTGGAGGCCTCCGGGCCACCGGAGGCTTCTCAGCTACGGGAGGTTTTGTCTTTCTCTCTGGCAAAGTGAAGACTTCTTCTGCTCTGGATTCCTCGGCACAGTCAGGGCTCTCAATGTCATCTTCCGGCTCAGACTTGCTGACCGACCTCAGGCGAACAGAACGTAGGTCGGACTGAGTAACCATAGGCATGATTGGCTGGTTGGGATTAGTTTTTTGGGCCAGCTTGACACCAAAATTTGTCTCTGAGTGGTGCCGACTCACCTTGGTTTTGCTTCGGATGGAGATACTCATCCCAGACAGATCCAGGTTGGGTGAAGAGGTCAGTGGTAGGTCAAATGATAGCCGTGACTTGGGAAATTTCTCCATTGGTGACGTTGGGGGTAGTGATGACTTCCTCTCAGGTACCACTGGACGTACTCGGACACTGCTGCTTGGAGGGGGTAAGTAGCCCAGGGTCAGGGACATGGAAACAGTAGGTGTTGGTGTTTCTGACTGGCTGGAGTAGCCACTGGAGGGTGACATCAGACCAGGGGGCCTTCCCGGGGAGGATATCTCCCTGGCCTCCACTTCAATGGAGAGTTGGGAAGGTGTAGTGGCTCTGGAGGTGGAAGGTGAGGCAAGAGACTCTGAGCTGCCCTGAACTTGGGTGCACTCAATGACTGTGGTGCCAGTGGCAGTGCTGGAGCTGGACAGGGATTGGTAGGTGTCACCAGACTTCCAGTCAGTAAGATACCAGTGGTGGGAGAATTGTGTACCTTCTGGATCTTTGTGGTTTGGAACAGCTGGGTGACCCTGAGCATCTGGGTGGGATGAGTGATGTCCTTGGTGTTCCAAGGAGAGGCAAAGGCTCTTGGGCCTCTGGTCCTTGGGTAGTGCTGACCCACCTTCAGGCAAGAGGCCTGGCTCATCTTTGACCAGTGAGACACTGCGCGTGGGTGGGGAAGGCTTCTTTTTGGCCTTCCTAAGTGAGATACTCTTGGACCTCTGCCTTCTGTGCTGGGCCTCTTGCTGGGCACTAAGGGAGGCGATGTTGTCAGCACTGTTACTGCCCTCAGAGCTTGTACTGGCAAAAGGCAGGGCACAGGCCTCATTGGCCTTCTGCTCCTCATCATAGTCCACATCTGTGGTGCCTGAGTCTGTGGGCACAGACAGTGACCGCTCCCGGAATCTGCTGGCCCCGCCGGGGCCTGTCTCCAGCCTTGTGGTCCCACTGGTCAGAAGGCCAATCTTGGAGGGTCTTTCGGGCATGTGCCTTCGCTGAATAAGGTGCTCAGGGTAGCCAGCTGACCCACTGCATCCTGCTGGGTTATCACGAGCAACAAGGAGGGTAGCAGCCTCCTTAGGAACCAGAGGTGGGACTTTGTCTAGAGAGACCCAAGAATTCCCACAGGAAGGATTTTTCCCATTTTCATTGACTTGATTGCTCTGGCTGGTGGCACTTGGAGTCATGTAGGTAAAAGCATCTCCCTTCCAGGAAGTGGAGAAGGTTGATTCTGTAGGTCCATTGCAAGAACTGGGGACACTGTACACCATTCCCATGCTCTCCATGCCAGGAGGGTTTGGGCCACTCCGCGCCTGGTGAGGTTCGTCTGGCTCACTGGAAGGAGTTCTCAGTACTGGCAAGGTGAGACTTGGGAACCGAGCATCCTGACCAACTGCAACTCTTCCATGAACTCCTTCCAGAATTGAGTGACTGGGCCTGATGTCAGAGGTGGTAGAGTGGGCCACACTGCCTGCTGGGCTGTTGCTGTGACCTGGAGGAAATAAACACAGGACATGAGTGCTACAGCAAGGGATCTCCCACCAGCTGTTTTGAGACAGAAGCACCAACTTTTTGCCAAGAAGCATTTGCCAACAGCTTGGTCAGAATTCCTTGGTTCTTCCCTTCCATGGATGAGGATGCTGGGGAAATTGGGTCCTTGCCCGTCACCCCACAGTGAGTCACACGGTGCCCTTGAATGGTCCAGATGGCTGCCAAATACTTTCCAGCTTTGATTATTCCTCTTAGAGCTGAAGTGTCATGTGGGATTACCTTGCATTTTCCCCATACTTTCACCCCAGGCTCATGAAACCATCACAGACCTCAGCATTCATCCATCCGGAGATGAGAGTAGAGGCTTCCGAACTAAGGACAGCATGGTGTGACGTTTGGCTCCAGCAGTGACTCTGGAGTATGCCCAAACTGCAAAGCTAAGAGTCTGGTTGCACTGTTCGCATCAGTCACTTTTAAGCTTTGCAACATAAGAGGCTGAGGATAACCTACAGATGTGAGGAAAACGTTTGGATGTTCCAAATCCCCAAACGTTTTCTCATACACACAAACAATTACTACTATCATGTCATTATTATTATTATAACTACTACTGCTATGAGAATTTGTAGTAACAGCCACCATTTTTTGGACACTGACTATGTACCAGGAACATGGTAGGCAAGTTACATACAATAACGCTAGTCTTCATGCTAATTCCACCGGGTTGGTATCATTATCCCCAGTTTATAGATGAAGAAGCTGAGGCTCAGAGAGGTTTTGTAACTTGGCCATGGTCTCCCAGTTAGTAAGCGGAAAGACCAGGGCTCTTACCCTCTGCTATCTCCCTGGTCTGTGCTCCTGGCCAGCATTCACTTAATGGTAGTAATGGTTCTGTTAAGATGATGGTGAGGATCCCTCTCTCCTCATCTATTTGCCTAAATTTGGCATATCTGGTTATATTACATTTATAATGGGAAACAATAATGTAATGGATTCATTAGCCCAGGAGACCTATTCTCCATATTCAGTTGATGCCCTTGACATGAGGCCCTTAGCTATTCTTAATTACCATATTGGCTTTTTCAGGACATCCGGAGGCCCCCTCCTCCACCCAATTATTCCTGTTCCCCATCACCACAGTACCACCTGGGTGGCAGGATTGGCGGGAGTGGGTAAGGGGAAGGGACTGGGGAATCAGCTGTGGTGGGGTCACCTTGATCTCGTTGGGAAAAGTTAGAGAATCCAATAATGGTCCGCCTCCGCCTCAGGGTGGACTTGGGGTTCACGGCTGTCTCTGTGTTAAACAACGAGTGTCGCAAACTTGCATGTTTATCAAACTGCTGCCCTGTAGCCAAAATAAAGACACTTGGGTGCATCCTGGTTTCTGTTTAAAGCACAGTGGAAATTGGCCTGAGAGAAGAGAATTATGGCAGTTGTGATGAGCATGAATAGCATCCAAGGCAGGTGGCACTTCTTCCCCATCTTTCCCAACTTGGCCCTGGGCATGCATGCTGGGTTTCCCAGGCTGCACCCAGGTTACCTGTAAGTCTTAGGTGTTCTGGGGCAGCGGTTTTCAACCCTGGGCTACATATTAAAATCAACTGGGCAGCTTTTGAAACTGCAACACCTGGACCTTACCCCAGAATACTGAAATCTCTGGGAGTAGGGCTCAGGTAGAAGCATTTTCTAGAAGTCTTCAAGTGATTATTCAGAGGTACAGCCAGGGGTGAGAACCACTGGTGTAGAGCAGCGGGCTGGGACTAGATGCTGCCTGACTGTGATCTTTTCTCAGAGAAGGTCTTTATATGGGCCAGGTGAGGCCAGTGTCTCCAAGAGGTTGCCCCACTGCCCTCCACCATCCAGGAAAATGCCTGATAGTCTGTCCTACAGTCTCCTGGTCACATTTTCCCAAAGCTGGCCCACAGCATGGTGATTGAGTTCTATTTCTTTCTCTTTCTCTCTCTCTCTCTTTTTTCCTGGCACTGGCTTTTCAATTTAGGGAAATTATTGACACAGATTATAGTTATCACTTCATCTGAGTTACATGGTACTTTCAAAATACCTGTTAATTCAGTTTGTTTACTGACTTGATAATGTTTTCAAATTCAACGCAATTAAAATGGAAGATTTCCTCAATAATATGTCTTAATATTATTTAAAAAAATTTTTTAGAGCTCTATTTCTCTTAAAGTGCTAGGTCAGTCTTTGGGTGCTGGGAAATGGCTGGGTCAGAGTCAGGGCAAGGCAGGGTGGTGGGGCGAGGTCTGTGATTCCACCTCCCTTTCTCTCATTCAGCAGCTGGCTAGCCAGACCCTCCCTCGCCAGCCACACAGCTGCACACGTCCACAGACTCCTCAGCAAGTGACTCTGTGGGCAAAGCTCAGGGACAGCCCCATTGAGAGGAAGACAGACATTTATTTATTTATTTAAAGACAAAGTCTCACCGTCACCCAGGCTGGAGTGCAGTGGCGCCATCTCAGCTCACTGCAACCTCTGACTTCTGGGGTCAAGCGATCCTCACACCTCGGCCTCCCGAGTAGCTGGGGCCACAGGTGTGCGCCACCACACCTGGCTATTTTTTTGTATTTTTGGTAGAGATGGGGTTTCACCATGTTGCCCAGGCTGGTCTTGAATTCCTGAGCTCAAAGGATCCACCCACCTCAGCCTCCCAAAGTGCTGGAATTACAGGCGTGAGCCACTGTGCCTGGCCAAGATAGACATTTAGACACAAAATGTTCAACACCATTTCTGGAGTCTTTCCTCATCAGCCCTCACTCCTTTTGGTATATTTCCCTAGGCTGTAGGCTCTATTTCCTGCCTCTGATTTTCTGAAATGATGCCAGTGACAGTGGAGGACCCCATATCCAGGGAGCACTGCCACGTGTGGCCAGAGCTGTCCTCATCATCTTTATCAACATTTTCCAGCAGAGCACAGGCTGGCGCTGGCTCACAGGACCCTTCTGATCCCTTTAGGTTACTGAGATCATGGTTTCATCATGCTGCGTGGCCCTATCTCCTTCTCAAATGACTGGCCCTCCTTCTCTTCCCCTTACAGCTGATGGAGTGTAGATCATGGATTAATAGTGAGCATGGTATAGTGTGCCACATGCCCCCAGAGCCACAGCCAGCTGGGCTACATATAATACATCATGTTCCCCACTCTCAAAGTTGTACTGGGTCCCCTTTTGATCTTTTTGGCCTTAGGACCTTTCTACCACTTCTTTTCTTGAAAACTTGCCAAACAAGTTGAGGAGGCCCACCTTGCTAGAAGACTAGTGTCCAGTGAAAGTGCCACCAGGCCTTTGGTCTGTGCCCAGGTGTGATCCTCCCTTGTTACCACCAGCACTCCAGACCCTACTCTCCCGCTCCGACTCTTATCAGTGTACTCCAAACCCAGCTGTGGGCACAAGAAGTTGTCTTGCCCTGACCCAAACAGAACTCACAAACTTTAAGTTTCCATATGTGCTCTGAAGAGCACACAAGTTCATAAGGCTTTGAAGCTTTCTGTTAAGAAAATTTTGTTTGCTATCAAATAGTCTCAGTTAGGGTGGCAGTGCCAGGAGGGGGTGAAGAAAGAGCAGCCAGCGCCCCCTCTTCTGCATGCCTCCATTCCCTGGCAAGAGCCATGACCGTGACAGCGCAAGGTGAGCCGGTAGCAAAGAAAGTCTCACTTCCCTCCCCCAACACCCAGTGCATTGAAGAAGATGGTCTGTAGAGGCATGAAGGGAAGAAGGCGGTGCTAAGCAACTCTACCAGAGATGTTGATGGGCACAATGTCAGACTGCGTGGAGCAAGGCTGAGGCCACCGCTTCTCCTCTAGGATGGGCAGAGGGAAGAGGTTATTCCAGGCAGTTTGCTTGTCGGCTGTGGTAGACAGGCTCAGGGAGGCCTCGGGGGCCCTCACACCCTGGGTGGTAGTCTCATCCTCGCTCAGCTGCCGTTTTGTAGGCTGTTGGGAGAGAAGGTGATGGAAAGGGTGTATTCCTGCCCGGCGATGAGCCAGTGCCCATAGGGTGGCTGTTTAGGCTGGGTAGTTGGAGACTTCGTCTGGGAGGCAGGAAAGCGTGGACAGGCCGCCAGGCCAGGCACCTGCTGTGCAGGGCCCATCCCAGTGGGGCCTCAGGGTAGCTCTGCTGGTGAGCAGAGGTGAGCAGCTTCCAGTGGGTAACGTAAGCAGCTGGAGGTCTCCTGTCAGTGGGTGCATGCTGGCTCTCCCAGGTGGGGGATGAGGCAACTCACCATCAATACAAACTCCAGACGCCTGGCAGACTGGGGCCTTGGGTTGGGGGTGGGCTTAGTGGCCTCATCAGAAGAGCGGAAGGTCTGCCCCACAAGTCTGGCCTCCGAATACTGTTCCTCATATTCTTCTGAAAAATAGCACAGTGGAGACACACACTCTAGGGTGCCACGGCCAAGTGCTGGGCCGGAGAAGGGCCATGAGCCAGGGCTTCTGCTCTAGCTGCCAGGCCTGACTTGCATTTTCTTTAGGCTATTTCCAGGTGTTCGAGCCACTGGATTTGGAAATGGAAAAGTGTTTGCTTCCCAGGACCATGAGGGTCGAGGAGAAGAGAAAGTCAATAAATTCATGCTGTGGTGGTTTGGGGACCAAGCCCTTATCTCAATGACCCCCACCTTGAGTGCTCAGTTACGAAAAGAGGCTCAGAATGCAGACACCTTTTGCTACTTTGGACTGCAAGTTCCTCTCTTTGAAGCCCTGCAGTTCTTAAGGTTTTCTGCAACCCTACCAAGGAAATGACCTTTGTGAAGCAAGAAGAGATTTACACCAGGAAGTCCAATCTGGAGTTCTTTCTTGGATGTCAAGAACTCTTACTTGAGCCTTTGTGGGCTGGGTTCCCTGCACCTTAGTCCCTCTGTGAGTGGTGTCAGGTCTAGGAGGGCTAAGGTGAAGGAGAGGGGAGGAGGAGGTAACAGCACAAAAGAGGCAGAAGTTCAGCGGCATCATCAGTGAATAAGGATGCACAAGATTTGAATGGGGTTGATTGAAGCGATGAATTTGATGAATACATGAAGAAAGTGAGAGTAGAGAAGGGACATTCATGCTGCATGTACACTGAACAAAGACTCTTAGAATCATAGAGATTTGGGGTTGCTCTTGGGGTTCTTTGGTCCAACACCTCATTCTGTGCCCAGACTCCCTCCTCAGCAGCCCTTCTAGGTGCTTCTTCAGCCTCAGCGCACACACCTGCAGGGAAGGGGAGCTCCCTCCCTCCCAAGGCAGCTCATTTCTTCCACGGACAGTTGGGGCTGTCAGGCGTGTCAGAAAGTTCTTCCTTATCTGGAGGTGGAATGTGCCTCCTTCTGGGTTTCCACCCACTGGTCCTAATTCTGCCATGGTAGCAACACAGAGCACATCAACTCTTTTTCTGCGTGGCAACTCCTTTGTTATCTGAACACAAGGCTCATGGTGTCCCTTGGCATCTTGCTTTTCGAAGGTTACCACTGCCCTGGTAGGGGGTGGGGGTTATGGCTGTCATCCCGTTGGTGGCCCATCAGCAGTTTTCTATTCGCCATTAGAGTTAACCTTTATTAGTATGGATAAAGGAGTGCTGACAAGACCTCTTTTCATGCTTAACATCCACTGAGCACCTCTTGGCAGGTGGGGAGGGAACCCAGCCTTGTGCCAGGTGCTTCTGGAAACCCCAGGGTAGTAAGATGTGATTCTTTACATGGAGAAGCTCAGGCTGGTTAGGAGGACAAAATAGGTGACCCCTGGGTGTTGTGTATTGGGCTTACTTGGGTGAGGCAGTAGCTATCCAGGGGCGGTTATTGCAAGAGCAGAGTGAGTGAAGCCCAGAGTGGGAGATCCTGCAGATGCCCCCTTTGTCTTCTGGTGCCAGCATCCCAAAGGCATGGGCGATGTGGCAAGAGGGGGGCTGGAGGGAATGGGGGCCCACATTGTGGGAGTCTCCCACCCAGCTCTCGGTGAATGGTATGACTTATGGCCCTGCCTCAGTCTCTGTCCTTGTTTCCCCATGGGCTACTGAGCTGAAAAAAGGGGGTGGGGATGGGGGGGAAACAGCCCTGGAAATAGCCTCTTTCAGAATCATTAGGCTGAAAGGTGAAAGCTGGAAACTGCTTTGTCGATTGTTTTTAAACTGTTCTCTCTCTTTATCTTGCTGGTCCCTGTCCTCTTTCTTCTTTGCCTCCCTCCTGCTGCTGCGCATCTCGCCTCTGGGCTCCGGCCGCAGCCCCCCTCCCTCTCGGTACCTTGCAACAGGCTCTGGAGATTGAGCTGCGCCTCGCGAAGCAGCTCCTCTACACTCGGGGGCCTGCCCGAGGAGAGGAACACGTTCACTGGCTGTCGCCATGACGACCTCGAGTGGGCAGTCGCTGTCGCATTTTCCCGACCCGAGTTAGCTGCAGCTAGGGAAGGAGAGAGTCAGTGAGAGGCGCAGGCGAGCTGGAGCGGAGCGGCGCGCGGCGGCCAGTG